CTTGGAATTGTGGAGGAAGCAAGGGGAACAGCAGGGGAGCGTGGGGCAGGAAAGAAGGGCGGACAAAGGTCATCTGTGACTGTGAGGGGGCAAGGAGGAGACAAAGGGAGGGGCAAGCGGGGGGAAAGGAGCAGTGGGCGTGGGGAAGAAGTTAGAGTTGAAGGATTGAGGACGAGTGACGATGAGGGGCTGCTACGCAAGCTGCTCACATCGCTGCTGCCGCTAGTGCAGAGGAAATTCCCCATCGTTCGCTGCACTGCCGATGCCGAATTTCTGGTGGAGTTTGCCGGGTTTCTGGTCAGGCCACCTGCCTGTGCGCAGTGCAATGAGTGCCTTGGGGTCTACAGCCGTCCCATCCCCTTCCTCATGCTCATCACTAACTATGCCTACCGACCTGTCACCACCCTTTTCAACCGCTTTGTATCCATCTTCTCTCCCCTCCCTCCCGAATTCGAATGACTCGCTGCTTGTATGGGTGTGCCTCTCGCTGCCAATGCGCCTGGCTATCTAAGATCGCCTGCGGTGCAGGCTCGAACGGAACAGCTTCCTGTTCTCTTCCTGCTGACTGTGGCTCTAAACTGGGCTGCCCCCGTCCTCGGAATCACGGACCTGAAGTTCCTACACAGGCTGCGAGACGGAAAGGAAGATGATGGGAGGGTGTGGGAAGAGGTGCAAATGTGGTGCCTAGCGGTGGAGCTTGCATGGCAGGGCGGCATGAAGCTGGAGGCTGAGGTATGAGAGACAGGTGCAAGGGCAGCAAGGGGCGAACCAGTTGGGATGGAAAGGAGGGAGAGGTGTTTGCGAGTGCTAAGGGGCATGAGTTGTGGAGAAGGGCTGCCATACCCAGGTTCTGTGAAGACATGCAGGATGATTATGGGCCTTCCGATGGTGCCAGTGGGAGCAGCAGCCGCAGCGACAGCTCTGGGAGAAACAGGAGAAACCAAGGGAGAATAGAAGATGATGGGACGGGCAAGGAGGGGGAGGAGGCGGCTTATTTGAAAGCGTGGCCCGGGGGAGTGAATTTGGTGGCTTGTCTGCGAGAGATGCTGCTGGGGGAGCCGTGCTACTGCCCTGTCTCCCCTGCTGCCCCTTCCACCTCTGCTGCCCCTACCACCCCTGCTGCCCCTTCCACCCCTGCTTCCTCGTCCACCCCTGCTGCCCCACCGATCAGTGTTGTGCCAAACCATGCCAAACCTGCACCCGCTTTGGGTACAGAATACACTGGTACTGCTGTTGGTGGGGAGCGTAAGGTCGCAAGTGGAGGCGAACTGAATGCTATCGAGGGTGAGGGACTCCAGTGGAGGACAGAACACTTCTACAGGCGTCGCGGGTGTTCTCCCCTTTAAGGGTGTGCCACACAGCTGCTCGTCTTTCCCAGAGCCTCCTTCAATCTCAGGCTCTACCAGCTGCTGTGATTCCCTTCCCGCTAGTCCCGCGTCCTCTAACGAGCCTGCTCCAGCTGTAGCTACCCCAGCTCCTACTGCCGCCCCTTCTGCCGCTGCCCCAGCTTCTGCTGCTGTGGTCACTGCTCGAGGCACTGCTGTTGCTCCAGGCAGCGCCGCTGCCCCATTCAGTGATAGAGGAGCGCCAGGTGGAGCCCCACGAGCGACAGCCTCCATGCGAGCCACCAGCTGCTGCGTGAGCGCCTGCAGCAGCCCCCGCGCCTCTCTCCGCGACACCGCCACAAACTCTGAGACCGATGGCTGACTGACTGACCCATGGCTGACTGACTGACCCATGACAGACTTACCAATGGCTGACTGACTGACCCGTGGCTGACTGACTGACCCATGACAGACTTACCAATGGCTGACTGGCTGACCCATGGCTGACTGACTGATCCATGACTGACTGACCGATGGCTGACGACTGACTGACCCATGGTTGACTGACTGACTTATGACTAACTGACTGACCTGTGGCTGAATGACTGACCCATGGCTGACTGACTGATCCATGACTGACGGATCTATGGCTGACTGACTGACCCATGACTTACCAATGGCTGACTGACTGACCCATGGCTGATTGACTGACCGATGGCTGACATACTGACCCATGTCTGGCTGATTTTCTGGCTGACTGACTGACCGAATGCTGACTGACTGACCTATGGCTGACGCTGACTGACTGACCCATAGCTGACTGACTGAACCATGGCTGACTGACTGACCCATGGCTGACGCTGATTGACTAACCAGTGGTTGATTGAATGAACCATGGCTGATTGACTAACTTATGACTGACTGATCTATGGCTGACTGTTTGACCCATGGCTGACTGACTGAACCATGGCTGCTGATTGACTGACACATGACAAACCGACCGATGCCTCACGGATTGACCCATGACTGCCTGACCCATGGCTGACTGACTGACCCATGGCTGATTGAATGATCGATGCCTGGCTGATTGACCTATGGCTGACTGACTGACTCATGGCTGACTGACTGACCCATATATGATTGACTGACGCATGTCTGACTGACTGACCCATGGCCACCTGACTATGGCTGACTCCTGACTGACCCATGACTTATCAATGGCTGACTGACTGACTGACTGACTTATGGCTGATTGACTGACTCATTGCTGATTGACTGACCCATGGCTGACTAACTGACCGAATGTCCGCCATGATCCTTATAAAAAACAAAAGGCCAGGCTGCTGCATTGATGGTCGAATTCACAAGCCAGCTGCGCTGAAAACGTACTTGACAAGCCAAGTTGATGAAACAGCCCCCTTGCAGCAGCCAGCCGCAGAAAAAAGGTTCTGGTCAGCCAGCCCGCCCTGCCAGCCAGCCACCTTGCAGCAGTCAGCCACAGACGAATGGTTGTGGTCAGGTTGGGAGAGTCATACAGTGAGATGGGTGGGTAGGTACGGTTTCAGCAAGGTGGGGTGAGAGCACAGGCATGGCTTCAACAAGGGTAGCTCACGGCAAGAAGGGGTGAGAGCACAGGCATGGCTTCAACAAGGGCAGCTCACGGCAAGAAGGGGTGAGAGCACAGGCATGGCTTCAACAAGGGCAGCTCACGGCAAGAAGGGGTGAGAGCACGGGCATGGCTTCAACAAGGGCAGCTCACGGCAAGAAGGGGTGAGAGCACAGGCATGGCTTCAACAAGGTCAGCTCACGGCAAGAAGGGGTGAGAGCACAGGCATGGCTTCAACAAGGGCAGCTCACGGCAAGAAGGGGTGAGAGCACGGGCATGGCTTCAACAAGGGCAGCTCACGGCAAGAAGGGGTGAGAGCACAGGCATGGCTTCAACAAGGTCAGCTCACGGCAAGAAGGGGTGAGAGCACAGGCATGGCTTCAACAAGGGCAGCTCACGGCAAGAAGGGGTGAGAGCACAGGCATGGCTTCAACAAGGGCAGCTCACGGCAAGAAGGGGTGAGAGCACAGGCATGGCTTAAACAAGGGCAGCTCACGGCAAGAAGGGGTGAGAGCACAGGCATGGCTTAGACAAGGGCAGCTCACGGCAAGAAGGGGTGAGAGCACAGGCATGGCTTCAACAAGGGCAGCTCACGGCAAGAAGGGGTGAGAGCACAGGCATGGCTTCAACAAGGGCAGCTCACGGCAAGAAGGGGTGAGAGCACAGGCATGGCTTCAACAAGGGCAGCTCACGGCAAGAAGGGGTGAGAGCACAGGCATGGCTTCAACAAGGGCAGCTCACGGACGTGTTTTAAGCCCTCCTTCAAGGCGTCTTTCAGTATGCAAGGCCGAGCAGGCGGTTCAGCTTGATGGCTCTTCTCGTCAAGTGGGGTTTAAGCGCAGCCACTCCTTCCAGCATCGGGCTTCGTCTCAGAGTGGATAAGTCCGGCGTTTTGTTTTGGACAGGATCCTGTCAACAAGGCGGTTGCAGTCATCAGGTTGTGGTCAGTCATCCCATGGGTCGGTCGGTCAGCCATGGGTCAATCAGCCTTGGGTCAGTCAATCAGCCTTGGGTCAGTCAATCAGCCATGGGTCAGTCAATCAGCCATGGGTCAGTCAATCAGCCATGGGTCAGTCAATCAGCCATGGGTCAGTCAATCAGCCATGGGTCAGTCAATCAGCCTTGGGTCAGTCAATCAGCCTTGGGTCAGTCAATTAGCCTTGGGTCAGTCAATCAGCCATGGGTCAGTCAATCAGCCAGGGGCAGTCAGTCAGCCACAGGTCGGTCAGTCAGCAATGGGTCAGTGAGTCAACCATGGGTCAGTCAGTCAGTCACGGTTCAGTCAGTTAGCGATGGGTCAGTCAATCAGCCATGGGTCAGTCAGTCAGCCATGGGTCAGTCAGTCAGCCATGGGTCAGTCAGTTAGCCATGGGTCAGTCAGTTTGCCATGGGTTGGTCAGTCAGCCATGGGTGGATGAGTCAGCCATGGGGTTCATGAAGTATCTGCTCAGCGCACTGCTCATCATCGTCTTAACAAGTCATATCACACTTCCCAACCCCGATTCATCCCTCCCATACGGCTCTTGCCCTACAGCATCTGACATATCATTGCAAATGATAGCGCCATGAAGGGATCAAATCAAACCCTTTCTTGCCCACGTGTTACAGATGATAACCCACTGAAAAGAAGTGGATACTGCCTGGAGGGAGGATGTGATGCTTTGCATGTTAGATATGTGGGATGGAGAAAGAGTTGCTATATCATGTAGTGTAGTTCATTACGAGTAGAACGCTTGTTGCTGCCACAAAATGGCTTATGATTTCCATTTAAAAAACCCATATTCGTTATGAATAGAGCTATTCTAGTGGCAAATATTATGTATGCAACATTCAAAATATGTTATAAGCACAAAATATGTACCCATGCACAAGCCAAAGCTGTAGCTCCCACTTTTTATGTACGAAGGCCAATTTTCTCGTTCCATTTACCTGATCACCAAATATTCTACCAGCATCCATTCCATTTATCTGTTCAACAGGCCATATTTCCCCATATACCGTATGTTTTGGTATGGCACAAACCAGAAGCTCTGGGTAATCTAGCAAGGTGCACGTGAAGACAAACTTGATTATGTGGAAAAGCCACTTGGCATGACCCCTCGCTCTGCACGGGCCATTTCAGCAGTGAAGCTGGAGGAGCCAATGGAACTCCCAAGCTCCGTGTCCATGCGAGATTTGGCCTCGCCCACATGGCTCTCATGTGCTCCAGAAGCTTCCTGATTCAACTTCACCAGCTCCCCCAGCACTTGATTCATGGAGGGGCGGGAGGCCGCAGGCATGGTGGTGCAGGAGAGGGCAAGGCGAGCCCAGCGCAGCACCAAGTCATCTGGTGCGTCCAAGTAGGGGTCCTTGAAGACTGTAACGGCATCTGACTCCACGAATGGTGTGATCTGTTGGGTTGAGCCATGTGGACATATGCGTGATTGTTCAGTGAACTACATACTTATGAGTGCAGTTTTTGCATAAAATATTCAGACAGTAAGTCTGTAGCAAGCATCTGTGCTCACCCATTGCTTCAGACTGATCTGGCTGGTCTCGCTCATATGCACGGCCTTGCGTGCCGAGATGACCACCAGCATCACCACACCAAAGCTGTTAAGACCAATCAGAAAGAGGGACAGGAGAATGGAGATTAATGTAAGACATTTCAGAGGAGCATTTCTATGCCCTACCCACATCACAAATGGAAGAAAAATACATTTCTATGCTCACACCTGCTGCTGGAGTGTTCCAATCACTCAAGTGGTAGCCACAGTTGGTTTCTTACTCAACTCGAAAGAAATATCTTCACCCGCTCACCTGTACACATCTGCTGCTGAAGTGGCCTTGTGGGACTTGTAATAGGCAGGGTCCACATAGCCCGGAGTCCCCATTACTCGAGTGGCAGCCACAGACGTGCCCATAGCGGTGCCTCCAGTGAGCTTTACCAAACCAAAGTCTGCAATCTTGGCCTGAACAACAGTTTGTACGCAAAATTAAGATAGTCAATTGCACCAAGTGCTTTCAATATGTCAAGACATGCTAGTAAAAGAAAAAACAAAATGTTAGGTTGGTGACTTGTCAAACAAAATGCAAGGAGAAAACATAGTTAGACGTACATGCATTTTTGCATCAAGCAGAATGTTGGCTGGCTTGATGTCGCGATGCACAATGCCGAAGTCATGAAGATATTGCAACCCCTTGGCCACTCCAATCAGAACATCCAGTCGTTGCAACAGAGAGAGATGACTTGGAGCTCCTAGGAAGGGGTAATGGAAGAATTGGTTCCAATGGGAATGCTATTGAATTGCTTGTCCCTAAGGAATGGACATTGTGATCTGAAGAAAGGGTTTGGAAGGCATGATACAAGGTATGCGGCACGGCAAGTGCAGGGCACATGGGCCACTCACGTCACACTCAGAAACTACTCCAAGATAATGGCTATCAAAGAGTAAAATAAGACATCCATCATAGACAAGTGAAGTTTTATTACCTGGTTCAATCCAGCTCTCCAATTCCCGGTTGGCCATGAACTCATACACGAGCACTTGCTCAATCTGGCCCGTGCTGGAATCATAGTGCACACAGAAGCCCAACAGCCGCACCAGGTTGGGGTGGTGCTTACTGGCCATCTCCTTCACCTGCAAGATGGGAGAGGAAAAACAAAAAGGGAGTAGGCAAGAGGAAGAGAGTGAAGTGAATGTGTTTATAATGGTGTATGCATGCATGTACAAGAATGGTACTGTAATGATGTCTGAATAAACTCAACAGCAAAATCCAAGTGCCAAATACATCACATGCGATATTGGGGAAAGTCGAAAAGGAAGAGGGCAAGAGGGAAAGTGTGTGTCTGTGTTTGACAAAGTGTGTGTGAGTATGTGTATGTGTGCATCTTGCTGGGTGTGCGCACATGTGTGCATGTGTGTGTGTGTGTGTGCGGGCGCGTAAACGCGCCTGAATGTGCATTTGAGTTTGGATGAATGTGTGTGTGTCCCTGTTTGTGTGTTTGTTGGCATACAAAGAATGTCCAATAACAGCATTGCAACGTGTTCAGGGTATGAGGCCAGAAGACTCATCAGCACCATCTTGTACCTCAGTAAGGAAGTCACTGGATAGGACCCTGGATCGCTTCACAGCCCACATTTCAGTGGGTTCATGCACTGACACGCCCTTGTACACATCTCCAAAGCTGCCGCTTCCAATCCTGTTTCCCTCTGCCCAGTCTCCCGTTGCGCTTGCGAGTTCTTCCAGAGTGAACTTCTGGCACACATGTGGCTTCACTGCCTCCATCTCCACCACCACGTCTCTCTCCATCACCCATTCCGCTGCTCCTGCAGCCACAGCCGCAGCTGCTGCAGCAGCTGCTTCTCCTTCTGGGTCCCTATTCCCTGCCTTGGATGCTGCGTTGGAATGATCAGGTTCCAAGTCTGTCAGAGGTGGTGAAGGAGACAAGATGAAGATGAGGAATTAAACGTGGACAGGAACTTAGGGTTTGGGAGGAGGCTGTATTTCGAACAGCGTAGACTCAAAAGGTCCTACCTTGGAGTGCACTTTCTTCAGCCAAATCTTTGCCGTCCACATCTCTGCCTCCTGTTGCCCCTCTGGAGTGGTAACGTTTGCACATCAGCCAGATAAGCAGCAGCAGCACTAGGAAAGCCACAGCGCCAGCAGCAGCAATGCCAGCAACGGCTCCGTTGGATAAACCGCCTTCAGACTGGGTAGCAGATGCTGCAGGCTTACTAGGAGTTGGCGAGGGAGGAGGTGGGGAGGCTGTGGGCATTGGCGATGGGGAGGGTGTTAGCACTGGTGATGGGAGGTACATTTAAGGAGTAGGAAGATGGATATAGTGAATGGAAAAGGCTATCACACGTGGGAATAATGGTGGGATTGATGAACAGGGATGTGGGAGAGAAAGCGAACAAAGACTCTGAAAGGTTGAAAAAAAAAAAAACCAGCAAAAGCCACGAGTTATTCTTTGGTATTCTTCACTATAAATTGTGGATGCGTGACACTGCAGAAGTTTGTTCTGTAGATGGCAGTATAGTGTTCATGCACTCAGCACGAATGAGAGCGTTGTCAGAAAGGCAATATTACTTGCAGCGACCCGCATAAAGAGATTGCATTTCACCTGGTTGTGGCTTGTCACAGGTGGTGCAGAAGGAGCTACACTGCTGGCAGAGAGCACTTGAAATGTTCTGTTTGACCACACAGCTGCTGTAGTCAGGAGGGCATGCGATTGCAGTCGAAGTTGTGTTCCTGCATGTGCACATGGGGTGTTCTCAAACTATAAACCAGAAACCGGTTTCAGCTCTGAATAAAACTCTCTGAGATTTCTATTGGAAAGGTCTGGTGAGACATTACAATGCTATACTTTTCCAAGATGTTTTATAGGTCAAAAACCCAGTAAACCATATATTGGTTTCCATGCATGTTAGGGAATAGGAAATGGCTTAACGTGGTCTGGACCCAACATCAGTTGTCGTGCCGAAATGGGCAATAGTTGTCGTGCCGAAACGGATTGAGCCGGGATAATCATCTTCGGCCTTTGGTACCTTGTATACCTCCTACTTATGGCTGCAACAGTACTAGCTCGAATACACGACAAAAACACATTGGCTCCCTGTATACCTCCTCCTCATGAGTCATGATACACTTTAAGGAGAAATAATGGACATTGCAACAATTTAATCTGCATGCCTTACAGGAATAAAAGTCGAGTAAGATTGCCCATTGTTGGAGGGAGTTGGCCATTGAGATTGTTCCAACTTACATCACTGCAATGGAAATGTCAGATGATGGTTGGTTACTTCCCAGTCAAAGCATTGCTGATAAGATTGATGATGAATACATGCCAAAGGCTTCACCGAAGAATGAAACCCAAGGCGGTAGAAGGTAGGCAAAAAATGGGGAGGGAGATAAGAAAGGCATGATATGTTGACATAGGAGTGTGGCCGGAAACATCATGCTTTGAGGCAATCTCAGGTTACCATGGGTAGAATATGAGTTCAGCAAAGGGCTTGGTGGGGTCAACCGACCTGACCGAACGCATGTTTTTGCAAGGGATGGGTCACCCCAAGGAGTCCCCTAACCAGATCGGAGACTTGACCCGAGAACCGAATGGCCATTGTTTCCCAGGATGGTTAACTTATCAAACTTCCTTGATACTGACAGGCGCGTAAGGCTGCTCATGCTGCCGGTGGTGGATGGAATAGCCCCATTTAGTTACTACTTGAGATCGAATTGTGCGATGACTCCTTGAGGGTGCGTAACTACCAAAAAAACTGTAGACAAGTAGGAATTGATTGCTTAGGGATAAGAAGGCGAGATTATGGCTACAACAGATATTCCAAGATGGAATACCCACTTTCACATTGGGGATTCAGAGGCAAGATTTCATAGCTATGGAAGGAATATGTGCGCTCAAAAGTGATTCTAAGGCTGGTTGGATAAGTGTGTGTGCTCACAATTTTACTGGTGCAGATCTTGCTCAGCTGGCAATTGAGTCGGCATTCGAACAGATTGAGTTGGCAGCTCTGGCAGGAGGAAACTAATTGACTGGAAAGGCGACCCGCAAGCTCACGATGAACTTAGGGTTGACCAATTTTGAGGGGCCGTAGAGAAATACTTGGATCCAAAACGTGATTTGGGTAGTGATGGAACTAATAGACGCTATACTTGGTGGGACTGCGTTTTGCTCATCACTGCTAGCTTGATTTCAGAGGTTCTCACTTTCATCATCCTCACATATATGGAAGATCCAGATCCACCCTCGCTCATGTACATTGTTGCCTGATTGTTGCAGGACCGCATTTCAAGGCTAATGAGGAGATATCGGCCGCGGAAGAACCTGGTACCCACGAGGTTACCAATGTGAGTGGTGTCGAGAGGTAAGCAAAAGTTTAGCAGCAAAAAGGAGGAGTTGCACTAGCAAGCAGTTGAGTACATATAGGAAACCCTAAATTGGGCTGTACTCGCTATAGAGTGCCCCACTGCAGGCTAGACAAATACAGCATTCTGACACACCCCCATAACCAAAGTGGGGTGTAATCAGTACAACAAGCATGCACAGCAATTGTTCACAATGATAAACAAAGCTAGTGGCTACCATAGAGGGCAAGTGAGGAGGAGGAGAGACTGTGGGGGCGAGAAGATGGGAGGCGACTGCTGAAGCTGCAGATCACAGGAGCTGCGGCTCAGTGGCTACCGAAGCAAAGGCCCGGACTACAGGAGTAACTGGCTCCGCGGAGATTGTAGCCTCCTGACTGGAGCAACCGACCCGCAGGCGACTGGCGACTACCGGAGATTGTAGCCTCCGGACTACTGGTGCTGCTGGCGACACGACTGCGACCTCCGTTCAACCTCCGCCAACTGCCCAAAGCCCCTATCACACACCCCCTACTGCACCCCTAGCTCCACTCCCACGACACCCCACTTAAACCCTAAACCCTCAGCTCCCACACACCCACCCCCCTCAGCGGCAGCTGCAGCAGGGAGACGGAGCAGGAGGAGGAGCTGCAGGTTACCCACACCGGTCACCCCCATGCCCGCCACCCCCAAACCCTAACGCAGGCAGGAGCGCGGGAAGTAGCAGGGACGGTTCACGGAGGGAAAGGGAGGCGGCGGGGGGTCTCCTGGGTGCCACGAAGGAGCAGGGCGCGGGCCCCCCGAGGGCGCCACGGCGGGTGACGAGAGGGGGGCCGCGCACGGGCCGCGCGCGGGCTGTACTGGCCGCGCGTGGGCCTGGCGCAGCCCGTACAGGTCGCGCGCGGGCTTGGCGCAGCCCATACGGGGCGCGCGCGGGCCTGATGCAGGTCGCGCGGGCCGCGACGGGCGACGGGAGACGACGCGACGGTCGGCAGGGGGCGACGCGCGATTCGACGGGGCAGAAAACCGCCGCGCGCCCCGAGCGGGTGAAGTGCACAGTGCTTCAGCCATGTGGGCAAAAGTGTACTTGGTTAGCAAAGCCTGAAATCCTCCTTTTCTCAGCAACCGTCGTCCCCTGCTCAGCTGTCATCACAGTGCTGACAAAAGGTGTGTCTGGCAGCACACGAAGCGTAGGTCTGCCAACCAGGACGGACCCCAGACTTGCCGGCCGTTGCTGCAGCTGCAAAATCGGCGGCAGTGGCTGCCTCTGCAACAAATCCAGCCTTGGAAAAGATTCCCCTGGTGATGGAGACACCGGCGAAGCGAGGGAATCACCGGAATCTCCCCACAAATTCCACCTCGAATGGATCTCGAGTCAGATCTGTGCTGGTGCATACGCTCCCTCCTCACTCGAAGCTTCCTATGGGAATGGGACCATTCTTCCTGCCATAGATCCGCACACTCGACCCACTGCTACCACCTCCCTTGGTCCCGGACGCACCTGTCTCTCCTGGGTGAACTTTCTCCTGTCCACATTTCCTCCTAGGACACAGCCACCGCCGCTAGTGCCATGCCAGCCTCCTTGTGGACGGGCAGGCTGAAGCTGTAGCGGAGAGGATGGAGCTTGTGGCTATCGCAGGCTCAGGAGGAGGCCAGCAAGTTCCTCATGAGCTCCCGCATGCTTGTGGAGCACAAGGTCTGTTCAGGGCGCTTTCTACTTGCGTTTCAAGGAGGTGCGTGTGCTGGCGGAGTTTCGCTGCAATTGCATTGCATTATGCTGGGGGGATGGCTGCAACTCTGCTGCTGTGGGGTTGGGGGAATCTTTGGTGGAGGCAACCTGGATGACAAGCTTGGGTCCTCCCACCTGACACGTGAGCTGATACTGGTGAGTAGCATTGAATTTGAGTAGGAGCACATATGGTCTGCAATCACTGTATTCAAACGGATATTCTTGCTCGTTCCTACCTCACAGCCACTGGAAGGAGCACTACATATGAATAAGGCAATGAAAAGTTTTATAGTTTATGTGAACGTGGTGGTAAACCGCAATATCCACATACACATTGCAGCAAACTGGCATCTCCATGCGGATTTGACAGATTGTGGCGAGGCATACAAGCTCGTTTTGGCTCGATTAGTTTGCGTATCATAGACGAGCCACAAGCCTAATCAATTGCCCACTCATCTCGTCGGCCAGTCAGCTCGTTGTGTAATGGAACGACTAAGCTGGTCATAGGCCTATGCTCAGACCCACTATTCGTAGGAGCCTTGCATTTGTGAGTCATTTCCAACAGCTCCAAATGCTCATATGGCCGAGCTTGGACCCTCTAGTCATGATGTAGTTCAAATTGAATGGCGTGGGACAACGTGGTTGGGCCAGCCTGTTTGGAACACGTTCCACCCTTCACGATACTCACAATAACTTGAGGTTGCTCAGGCTACCGATGGTGGATGGAATAGACCCACTCAGAGATATGTTGTGAAGATACCTAATGATACAACATATTAAGGGTGTATGGGCGCACAGGAACAAAAAATACAGCAAGAAAAACAATACCTCAATTTATGGACACATGAGTATGGCTGCATATGTATAAGGAAGATACTATCAAACCATTGCTACAGAGCGCATGAAGAGGGTGCCATGAAACTAATATAAAAAATAGAACTGAGCTCAAATGTAGGAGAGGGATGAGTGAACATGACATGCTGATCTGTGATTTGTAGTAAAAGCTACCTACTCTAGAAGGTGCTTGACTGTGAGCACACCAGAGAGAAGCTGCTGAGCTTTAACACCAAACTATTACACAATGCTGCAAGAAACAACCACTACAATTAGTGAAAGCAAATGAAACCTATTGGGGTAGTCCTGAGTGTTGAACAAGCACATAATCACGAAGCGTTACACAGACTCAGTTTGGCAGTTATGGGTGGCTGCAAAAGTGGAAGACGCCACGATGAGATGTGAATGTGATCATAGGACGAGGTACCTAATCTAGTAGGTACCTCCAGATGTTAGCACAAACAGGGTTTCTTCATTTCAACACTACATCCTCTCTCCGCCAGATCAGCGGCACCCTACATCCCCAGTGGATTCGCATTCGCGCTGGTGCAGATACTCCCTCCTCACGCATAGCTTCGTGTGACTCAAATTTCAAACCATGATAGTTGGTCTCTAATGCTCCCACTACAGATTTGCGCACGCTTCTGCCCACTGATGCTGCCTCCCTTGGACCCAGACGCACTGATCCCTCTGGGGGTGAACATTACTCGTCTACATTTCCTCCTAGGACCCAGCTGCTGAGAATGATGCCATACCAGTCTCCATTATTTGTGGACCAGCAGGCAGTGCTGCAGCTGAGAGGATGGAGCTCGCTTGAGGCCATCGAACGCTCAGCAGGAGGCAAGGAAGCTTCTTTGTGAGCTCCCTCATGCTTGTGGAGCACCAAAACATGGGATCAGTGAGGGGGCTTGCTGCTGGTGTCCCAAGGAGGTGTGTGTGCTGGCAAGGCTTCTGCTACGGTTGCATCATACTGAGGGGCTGGCCATGAATTTGCTGGGAGGGTGGAGGTATCCCTGGTGGAACACACACATAAGGTGACTCGGATGACAAGGTTGGGTCTTTTTACCTGACATGTGAGTTGAGGTGGATAAACCCTTGACGCTGGTGAATAACATTGTATCTGAATAAGACCACACGTGGTCTCCATCCGGAGTGGACATTTGGCTAAAAAAGGACCCAAGGAGATCGTGATCTTATTGTTTGTCACCCAAGTGTGCAGATGCTCCCTCCTCACACGAAGCTTCGTATGGGACCATCACGAGTTACGAACCACGGCAATGGGCTTCCATTCTTCCTGCCACAGATCCGCACACTCGACCCACTGCTGCCACCTCCCTTGGTCCCGGACGCACCTGTCTCTCCTGGGTGAACTTTCCCCTGTCCACATTTCTTCCTAGGACACAACCACCGCCACTGGTGTCATGCCAACCTCCTTGTGGACGGGCAGGCTGAAGCTGTAGCGGAGAGGATGGAGCTTGTGGCTTTCGCAAGCTCAGGAAGAGGCCAGCAAGTTCCTCATGAGCTTCCACATGCTTGTGGAGCACAAGGTCTGTTGAGGGCGCTTTCTGTTTGCGTTTCAAGGAGGTGCGTGTGCTGGCGGAGTTTCGCTGCAGTTGCAATATGTTGGGGGGATGGCTGCAACCCTGCTGCTGTGGGGTTGGGGGAAACTCTGGTGGAGACGACCCAGATGACAGGCTTGGGTCCTCCCACCCTAAGTTGGTCATTTACGACACTTGAGGACACGTACATGTAATGTACGCGTACGTTTACGTTTACGTGTACGTACGTGTACGTACGTGTACGTACGCCGGGCAGGTCAGAAAAAAAATCCGCTAGGAATTTCTTTGAAAACGGTTTCCGAAAAAACTAAAAAAGGAAAAACGCTTTCGACGACCTGTGCTTTGTTAGCGTGGTAGTAAAGCGGCGCGGCGATTCTCTTAGTAGTAATGTAAGAAATAAGAAGGTTGCTAGGGTGGCTATGGTGTGGCGACTACCCTGCGTACTACGTCGACTATGTTGCTACGGCTTAGGGTACTACGATAGGTAAGTTTGACGAGAGAGTGTGGAAGGAGGTGGGAGTAGCTCTGAATGCGAGTCAAAATGTTCGCGATAGAACATTGCTTCGCTTGCAAAGTAAGTGACTGTCTCCCGCTCGGCAATTTCGTCTCCGCCGAGCTTCATTGGTTTCGGCGAATCCCAACATCGAGTCAAACAAATTCGCCGAGTCAATTCGTCTATCTACTCTATCTACTTAACCAACACACTCCAACAGATTATACTAGTACTATGGAGACTCCTACGCAGACCGCTTCTGAGCATCCCGTGTGGCGATGCTTCATTGTTCCTGAGGGCGGAACATCTGATTCTACGCTAGCTAAGAAATGCAAGCGATGTGGGAAGTCGTGGAAACTGAATGTGGCGCGGGCTCAGGCCCACATTCTCGGAATTCCCGGGAGCGGAATTACGCCATGCGCCTCAGCTACACCTGAGGATAAGGAAAAAATTCGTTCTGCGATGGATGATAAGAAGAGGGAATCTGATTCTCGCGAGAAAGCTCAACAGAAAACGTCCGATGCATTCTCGCCATCGTCTACTACGAACACCAAGTCGACGGGCATGGCGGCGAGTGGCTCCAACTTAGCGGAAAGTAGCACAATGGTGTGCAAGAGACAGGCAACGCAGCGTACTCTTATGGATACTCACCCCAAACCCGTCGACGCGGCGAGTGCGCAACTAGCCATCGCAACGTTTTTCCACGTGTGTCGTATCGCGCCGAATGTTGCGGAGCACGATGCTTTCAAGACGATGCTGAAAAAGGTTGCTGCTGCTGGTACAGGATTTACACCTACAGGACGACGGCTCATAATGGGAAGATTGTTGGAGGAGTGCAAAGCGAATACCGACGCTGCGTTGAAGGAGGTGAAGGATTCATGGAAGGATGTCGGGGTATGCATCGCGTGTGACGGTTGGACCGACAGCGAAGGACGTCCGCAACTGAACTTCTTAGCTGTTAATACGATTGCATCCGTTTTTCTTTTTGGGGTGGATTGCGGCACGGAGAAGAAGGGAGCAGAATTCATTGCTGGCCATTTGAAGACGGCAATGGTCATGGTGGGAACGGAGAACGTTGTCGGCCTGCTGATGGACGGTGCATCCGCGAATGTCAATGCTGCCAGCATCATCGCCCGCGAGTACCCAAAAGTTCAGTGGATTCGTTGCGGTGCGCATTCTCTCAATCCAATGATGAAGGACACTGGCCAACTCGATTGGGCCGAGGATACCATCGACCGCGCGCAACAGCTAATTACAACGCTGAAGAACGCGCACTGGATTACGGGGGTTCTTCGGAAGGAGAAGGTGCTACAAATCCTGAAACCTGCGGGCACCCGTTTTGGAACAAACTACATCCCCCTTGAACGCCTGCACGCAGTGCGCAAAACTCTCGATAAGCTGGTGTCGAGTGAGGACTGAGAGGAGTACGTCAAGGGGAAGCCGAAAATGAAGGACGCATGGGATACTATTATCGACAAGGAGTTCTGGACGTGCGTTGGGACGGTGCTCGATGTGCTTCGTCCGGTCTACAAGCTGTTGCGGATTGTTGACGGCAATCAGGAGGTGATGGGCAAGATCTATGACAAAGTGTTTGTTTTGGAGGACGCGGTGAAGGAGGCGTGTAAGGAGCTGACCGAGGAGGAGAAGGAGGATGTGACCGACATCGTGCAGAATCGGTGGAACAACGACATCAACTGCGCGCTTCACGTGGTCGGACAGATTCTGTACCCGCCAAACCAATACGAGTCAATATTCGGAACGGACCTGGAGTGTACCAAGATCTTCAAGCAATTCATTCGCAATTACTACAAGGGTGAATTCGTGAAAGTGGGAGGGGTGACGGCGCCACTCGCAACCATCGTCGAAAAAGAGGTCTTGACGTACATCAAGGGGAAGGGATACATTGGGGAGTAGAAAGCACGTGATGAGCATGAACTCATCAAAGCTGGGCTTTTGGATTCGGCGCATTGGTGGGAATCCAATGGCACGGACGTGCCACACCTCTCCAAGCTTGCAAAAAGAGTTCTCAAGCAATACGTCTCGGCCTCCCCGTGCGAGACGAACTGGGCTGTTTGGGAGTCAATCCATACAGCTCGTCGTAATCGCCTTGGAGCGAAACGCCTTCCTGACCTGGTATACGTGAGCCACAACTATCACACAGTGAAGAAGTTGAATGAAGATCTTGCTAAGAAGCTGGTGGTGAGTGGGCTTCCTGTGGTGCAAGTTAAGGAGGAACCTACTGGCAGCTACGGGCATCTCGATGACGACGACATCCCCGATGAGGCATATCTTGATGGCCATGAAGCGGAAGAGCCTATGGAGTGAGGATGATATGATATTCTGCACGACTCGTGCATGCATGGTGGTTATTTAATTATTTGGGAAATTACGAGGTTGTAATGGAATGTTTACACTCCATGACGGAAATCATGATCACGAGGGAGTACTACAGAAAAAATATACATATTCGGGCAGCCCAGAAAACTTTTAACCTGCCCGTACATTAGGCCTCCAACCCAACAGCCGCGTAAACGTACGTACCCGTATACGTACGTTATAGGCCTATGCTCAAACCCACTATTCGTAAGAGCCTTGCAGTTGTGAGTCATTTCCAACAGCTCCAAATGCTCATACGGCCGAGCTTGGACCCTCTAGTCATGATGTAGTTCAAATTGAATGGCGTGGGACAGCGTGGTTGGGCCAGCCTGTTTGGAACACGTTCCGGACTGCCCTTTTTGCATGTACCGCTTGTCGATCTCAGCCTCGCAATTACTAGCCCGGCCTGTTGGGTCAGCTTGCTGCAGAAAATTCATGTACAATGACTAGTTGTATCATGGTCTGAGCCCACCAACTAGTCGCCTTGCTGCAGATCTCTGACAAACTTGCTGTAGAACCGACCTACCATAGGCCGCCCCCCAGGCCCTGGGTTAGCGGGCTAGCTCAACCCAGCACCAGCCCGTGGTCATGCCTAGCATATATGCTTGTTCTCAAATCAAGTTGACTTGGTGTCGCCATCGCAATCCCTCTAATTTCTGAACACGTACGATGTCATGTTGGCTCTCTTTCCTATTCCCTTCACGATACTCACAATTTCTCAAGGTTGCTCAGGCTACCGATGGTGGATGGAATAGACCCACTCAGAGAATTGTCGTGAAGAAACCTAATGATGCAACATATGAAGGGTGTATGGGCACACATAAAGAAATACAGCAAGAAAAACAATACCTCAATTTATGGACACATGAGTATGGCTGCATATAAGGCAGATACGATCAAACCATTGCTACAGAGCGCATGAAAACGGTGCCATGAAAGTAATAAAAAAAATAGAACTGAACTAAAATGTAGGAGAGGGATGAGTGAACATGACATGCTGATATGTGATTTGTGATATAAGCTACCTATTCTAGAAGGTGCTTGATTGTGAGCACACCAGAAAGAAACTACTGAACTTTAACATCGAACCATCACACAATGCTGCAAGAAATAACCACTACATTTAGTTAAATCAAATGAAATCAATTGGGGTAGTCTTAATTGTTGAACAAGCACATAGTCACGACGCGTTACGCACACTCAGTTTGGCAGTTATGGGTGGCTGCAAAAGTGGAAGACGCCACGACGAGATGTGAATGTGATCATAGGACGAGGTACCTAACCTAGTAGGCACCTCCAGGTGTTAGCACAAACAGGGTTTCTACATTTCAACACTATGTAACATATTTTTTTGAAGGGGCAACATGAAATATCATAAGGGGTGCTGTTCTAAAATGCTACGCAAGCACACAAACACGTAGAGCCAAAGAAGCAGTGAGGAGTGCACCATGCAGACCGATGATGACCAGTTGCCAAAGTGGATAACCGGTTGTACATATGGTGCTTAAATAGTGAATGATGTGCCGGGGTAGTCGAATGTTAGCATTTTGACACTAAATCATGAATGGACAGATTGACCAACCCCTTATATTATTGTCAATGTGCACAAAAAGGCACATAACCTTGCCCATGTATCTTACCGCCAGATCAGGGGCACCCTGTGAGTCTAATGTGAAGCGATTCGCAGCAAATCCTGCTCACCACTGAGAGTGGCGAGACAGACCATCACGAGTTATAAACCACGAGTTACGAGCTACACTTCAGGACCATATAGTGAGCTACAATTCAGGACCATATAGTGAGGCTTATGTGGAGCGATTCGCAGCAAATCCTGCTCACCACTGTGAGTGGAGAGACGGACCGGCTCACAACGGTGACAGGTCGCTGTGGGCACACAGGAGGAATGGCTGCATTCTCTCTCCGCTAGTTCAGGGGCACCTTACATCCCAAGTACCTCGCATTCGCGCTGGTGCAGATACTCCCTCCTCATGCATAGCTTCGTGTGACTCGAATTTCGAACCATGATAGTTGGTCTCTGATGCTCCCACTACAGATTTGCACACGCGTCTGCCCACTGATGCTGCCTCCCTTGGTCCCAGACGCACTCTTCCCTCTGGGGGTGAACATTACTCGTCCACATTTCCTCCTAGGACCCAGCTGCTGAGAATGATGCCATACCAGTCTCCATTATTTGTGGACCAGCAGGCAGTGCTGCAGCTGAGAGGATGGAGCTCGCCTGAGGCCATTGAACGCTCAGCAGGAGGCAAGGAAGCTTCTTTGTGAGCTCCCTCATGCTTGTGGAGCACCCAAACATGGGATCAGTGAGGGGGCTTGCTGCTGGTGTCCCAAGGAGGTGTGTGTGCTGGCAAGGTTTCTGCTACAGTTGCATCATACTGAGGGGCTGGCCGTGAATTTGCTGGGAGGCTGGAGGTATCCCTGGTGGAACACACACATAAGGTGACTCGGATGACAAGGTTGGGTCTTTTTACCTGACATGTGAGTTGAGGTGGATAAACCCTTGACGCTGGTGAATAACATTGTATCTGAATAAGAGCACACGTGGTCTCCATCCAGAGTGGACATTTGGCTCAAAAAGGACCCAAGAAGACCGTAATCTTATTGTTTGTGACCCAAGTGTGCACACTGACAGTTTTAAAAACCATCAACGCTTCCATATCCACAATCTTGATGGTTCAGAAGTGGACGGCACGTGTATTGCAAGGTTCCTCACAGGGCTTGGCCACGTGAGTGGCAGTGGAACCTGGCACCCAGATTGTAAGTCATACCCTGCTGAGAGGACATCACCGTTGTCTGTGTCTTCGGTGATTAGCACCACTAGTGAGTGCTTTGTCGATCCCCATCACAGAGGAAAGCTCTCTCACCACGATGGGCGAGCAGGAGAGATCTCTCTCACATCTGATCCGACAGACTGCGACGAGCCATGCCTGCTTGTCCCGGCTCACGTATGTCACACAGGCCAAATCAGCCGCCCACTTGGCTGGTCTGCGAGTCAGCTTATTGTGGACTGAAACAACCTTGATGTGACACACTAGATTTCTGCCATGACTGTCAATGGGAGCGTGGTAAGGCCCCGTCCTCGCTTGGGCGGAGCCAACCTTGTGGTCGGATGTGTGGGGGTTGCAGCCGACCTGCAGCAGTGGGCACGGGGGCCACTGCAAGGGCGCTGAGCAGGAGGACGCCGCCCTAGACGCCTGGTTGGCGTCCCGGACGCTTGGACGGCGTCCTGGGCGTCCCGGGGGCCCAGACACCGACCTGGGTGCCTGGTCGGCGTCCTGGGAGGAGGGACGCCGCTCTGGAGGTTTGGTCGGCGTCCTGGGCGCCTGGACGCCGACTTGGGGGTTCGGAATGCGTCCTGGGCGCGCCTGGACGCCGGACTGGGGACGCCGGGCATGCGTGGCCGGCTACGGACTGCGTGAGTCGATCAGGCGTGGTTGCCCGGTCGATCGGGATATCCGGGCGACGTGCGCGAGCGTCGCCAGGGTGGAGACTGCGAGGCCGACCTCGGGGGTGGTATCCCGAGGTCGACGTGGCTGGTGGGCACAGTCGCTGGCGTGGAGTCTGCCAGGTGTCTGCGTTGTGCACGTGACAGGGAAGTGCGCACCAACCAGCTGCGCGCACCTGCAAAGCAGGTGCACCGTTGCCCTGCGGGTGCAGCGCTGTGCAGCCGACTTGCTGCAGCGCTGGCACACCGTGGACTTGCAACGTTGGCGAACCGCTACTCTCAACGCTGGAGCGGTGCGAGCACTGCTGCGCTGGAGCGCGGTCGACCGTGCTGCGCTGGAGGCCGACCAGCAGCCTAGCTAGCACTGATGTAGTCTGTGATGCCAATGTTGTTACTATCATTTGTTGTCATGTTTTCCTAGTGAAACTCTTGCCAATTGTCCCCGTGAACTACCAAGGAGCGTGAACACAAGGAAACGACTAAGTGAACGAACGCAGAGATCACACGAGCACACGTGCCTAGCCCGTAGTCTAGCTCCCATTGCAGCAGTTATCTCTGCAATGACTGGGGGTGAATGGAACATAAGCACACTCCCAGGCAAGGGCGTCATGAGTGCATTAGCCATGTTCATTTGGCTGATCAAGGGCACGCACGGTCGGGCCAGCCTCTGTTGCAAATGGGCTTGCAAACGGGCTGATTGTGCCCGATTGTGCAGAAATTCTTGCATGTTCGGCACGATCGGGCCAGCCAGTTTGCAAGCACAGTCATCTCTCTGCACTGCAGAAAGGTCATGTACTACGGCCAGTCCTATGCTCTTCGCCAGATCCACACGGATCAAACTAGCGTATTGCCATCCTTGTGCAAATTAGTGGGCGACCCCCAGCCTGTCTCCTTGCAGCAGACCTCTTCATCACATGCCGGCTTGCTAATTTCAGTATGTCTGTGAGCTTCGGAAGATTTTTGTGTTTTGTTTTGTTTTTTCTTTAATGAAAAGGGCCAGCTTAGGTTTGATAAGAGGGTTCCTGCTTTTTAGAAAGGCTCCCTTAGGTTTGACCAGATATGAGGGCAGCTTGAGAATGGTTGGATTTGGTATGACAAACTAATGGTAGCTTTATCTCATGGCCGTGGGCTATGTTGCGGAAGATGCGTCTAGCGTCTTAGACGGCTGCGTGTACACGCAGCGTCTAAGACTCTAGACGCATTTCAGGCCAGATTAGACGAAAGCCCGGGCAGGGCAAAAAAGGTTCAGGCAGCCTAAAAAACTTCTGTGGGGCATGGGGAGGGTGGGGGATGCACATATGTCACAATTGGGTCACATTTTTGCCGTACCATAGGAGACGACATGGTTTTGCGAGGGAACTAGCAAAACCCTAAAGGGTTTTTGAAAGAGAAATTGGTAAAAATGAAAGACGGGGAGCACAAATGTGGGATTTGTTTCCTAACCTCTTGGTGGTTTGCCATAGAGGTTGGGTTTTCTATATACTAT